TTTATTATATATATATATATATATATATATATATATATTGTTAAAAGTACAAGTAATTGATTATTATACTCTAGCGAAAATAAAGATTAGGACGTAAGTACAATATAAAAGGAAGAGAGAGACAGAAACTGAACGAAGCTTCTAGGAAACGTAAATTGGAAATCGGAATTAGAAAATCTAAAAAAATGTTCATTTCTAAAACTTGTTTCACGTTTTCATTTTTCAATTTACGCTTCTTAGAAGCTTTCGAGCTTAGAAGCGTTTCTGCTTTTGTCACTCTTTCCTTGAGCTACAGAGACAATGCAAATTCTTTATTTTCATAAAGCTCTAGATTTTGAAACATGTTAAAAATAAAATAAATTAATTTAGAATAAACGATAAATTTACGTTCACGAGAAACAATGTATATGTGAAATGTTTCTGCGTAAACTTATTCTTTCTGATTAATAAAATTTTCACAAGAATATTCTTACCATAGGCGTTATGCACTAGGCACAATATTAAGAGACCGAACACAGTTTTCATGATGATGAACGAACATTGAATGCGTTGCTTTTGATTTTTATATATGTATCTTGCGATACCAATCAAAATCACTCTTTCTCTTCAACTACGTCCCAATATTTGGGTTCCGATTATCTTCTTTACATTAATAGAATATAATCGCGTACCAACAGCACAGCAATTGCCGAGTACTTACTATCTATATAAATGATTCATAACAATGGTAAATAATTGTTCGATAACCAGAATATATATTTGTTCACTTTCCGTCGAATTTTAAAGAATGTCACAAATGATTACATTACATTACATTGTAACTCTGTGATTTATTAAACGTATATACTCTGTATATCTTTTATAAGAGATAAGTTCTAATGCTATATCGAAAATATATTGAAAATACATAAAGAAGTAATACTCATACACTAACTAAAAATAAATAATAATAAAAAATCAATATTCTTACTAGAAGGAACAGTAAAAATGTTTAGAACAAATTTTATTAATACATGTAAACAATTTGTTGATTTTTACGATAAACTAGCATTACATTTTTGACATGTGACAGTAAAAAAGGAGTTGTTATTTGATTTAATTAATTTTTTGTCGGCTAAATTATTTTATATAATTGTAATAGAGATATTATTTCATATATCAAATTTCTGGAATACTCATACGAAGATTACTAATTCATACAAAAGTTTGTTTATAAATAAAACTTAAAAAATATAGTATATAGTAATACAATCAGTTAAACAGAACGTTGATCCTTGTAATTATATTCTGATACGATAAAAGGTTATAATTCGGAATAATGAGTAGATGCTTTTGTTTTGCATCAGAGCCCCGTATAATATTTAATCCATGATCTGTAGGAAAATACTCTGGTGGCTACGTCTGGAGCTCCTCCACCGCATGGGCCATAACTAAATGATATGAGACCAACCAAAACGCTGTCAGCAACGAGTGGACCACCGGCATCACCCTATTAAAATAATTCATTTAAAATGTTAATATTTGACAATGACATTCTTTGTGCATTTTATTAACACTTCATTAACTGAATTCAATAATCCTAATAAGTCGCATTACAAATATCTCTATTGATAATAGCGCGAGATTAAAACTTATTTAATAATCTTCATCAAAAATGGATAAATTTAAAAAAAGAAATCGAAAACAATAAAATTTCCTAGAACTTCTTGTCACGCTTTCTTGATTTTTAAATAAAACTGCAATGATCGTGCTGCTCTCTTGATAAATTTTTCTTTATATTATAGTAGATTAGGCATTACATGTACACTGTTTATTTTATCATAATTACTTACATGACACATTCCTTCATTGACTGCAAAGGTGCATATGTGAGTTTCCTTGACGTGTTCGTATGTGTTACATAATTCTTGAGGATATCCTCTCACTATAATCTCTTGCAAGCGATTAGGAATCGGTCCTCCTAACTAAAAAATGATTGATTTTTCTTATCTAATATTTTATCTTGTAAAATTTAAGTCTAATTATGATTATAACTTTTATAGAACATTATTTTATAGAACATTATTTTTACAATAATTTTATATATAATTATATATAATTTTTATAATTTTACATAATAATTTTTATAATTTTTATAAATATTATATTTCTGTAAAACGCAACTCTTCCCAAAGATTTATTTTACAAGTTTTAATTAAATATACCAGTAAATTAAAAATTTAAAAACATAATGAAAGAAAAGATCGATGTTACCCCTCTAAGGCTTTTAAAATAAAAACTATAAAATTGTTAAAGCTTATTTATATCATTTAGATTTTATATCATATAATATTTGTTATAATTACCCAACGTCTTCCCCAGCCAGTAGCTAAAAGAGGATAATTATCAAAATTGCGATCGGCAGTTGGTAAATCAATTGGCTGGATATTTTCGTTAAATTTGATCTTGTCTACTTCAATTAAAGCAATGTCATGAATATGTAACAATTTATTGTAACCAGCGTGTACTATCAATTTTTTCGCTCGATACATAACACTCTTTGTTTGATTATTTACATTTATAAGATAATGGCTTCCAACGGCAACATAAACATCATAAGGATTTTTATATCTAAAAGATCAGATAAATAATAATCTTTTATTTAACATATATTTATTAAAAATTAAATAAAAGTTAACTTATATAATATAAATATCTTAAAAAATACAGCAATATATAGACTAAATTGCACATTTCAAGCTGCGAAAAACAATCGTTACAAAAATATATTTCAAATATAGGATCTTTAAATATAAAATTTATTATATTATTTTGTACATAAAATAATATAATTAATAATAATAATTCTCTTATTATTTACAAACATGTTTGTATAAAATTATATGAAGTGACAGTATTATGCTATGTAAAACAACTCCATTAATTGGAAATAATTATTTTTGTTTATTGCTTAAAAATTTTTTTATTTAAAATAAATATCTCTTTACTATTTATCTTCGAGTGTACGCAAAATTCTATCAATGCGCAATTTCTTTACTATTAACTTGAAAAACATCATTCGGCCGCCATTGGTTTGTAACACTTGAGATAATGGTCACACTGATGAAATTAAAAGTTATGAACAAGGCACATATTCTATTACAAATAGACCAGATTTATAAAGAAGATTTATGATATTGTCATTAATTTATTAATTTTGATTATGTCTATTAATACACGTTATTATTAATGTTGTTAATTTCTAATAAAAAACTTTTATTTTTATAACACGATTATCTAAATAATGCGCAATTTAGACAAAAATAAGAATATACATACGAAACAACACATTGGGCATTCGTGAGAACATAATATTCATTGATGATGACTCCACTACAAAAATGGAACGGATAATTATTACTTCTCAATGACGCCTGATAAAGATATGCGCCATCCTGAGCATCAATGCCACCGACGATTTGCGTATCTGGCAAACCTATTATTGATCAAAAGTATTTTTACGTTCTTGCTAGAAGCATCAATTAAAAATTAATTATAATATAATTTTTGCATAAATTCTATTTCAAAACATAATAAATACTACAATACTACAATAAATCTTTTTAAAATTTTTAACATTCTCAGATTTGCTGTTACTTAAAAGACATGTCACGTGATATACTTATCAATTTATCATCGCGATATCGATACTTAAGTTAGAAAAAAGGAAGATAAATTTTTGGTTTCAAAAATATACTTTTTTTGAGATTTATTCGGAATTTATTATGTACATGATGAAATAATTATCACACCTAATAATTAACATATCTATCGTAATAATAAATATTACTTACCGTAAGTGACGAATCCCAGACACGCGATTATGAGACCAGTGACAGCATTCATAGTGATAAACACTGTGATACGTTGAACATGTTATCTTCAATTTATATAACATTCTATACCGTAGATTGGAATTGTCACTTGGCGATATTTAGGCTTATCAAAGTGAACAGATAGAAAGTAGTAACGTATTAACGCAAACTAATAATGTATTATTAAATATTTATGACATTTGTATTGTTACATTTACATAATGGCAAAACAATCGGTATCGGTTAATTATTTACATAATTTTTTTTTAATGTTGCAATAACAGCAATAGTTGTAAATAATTAAATTTTTTATATATTTTTATATGAAAGAAAAATGTATTTAACATATTTATTTGAATTGGAAAAGTATTGCCTTTCATTTTATAATAAAAAATATTATGCCTTTTTTAAAAAAGACAACAAAATTTAGCAATAAAATTTTTTTTAAACATATCCTGTAGCCGCATATGTGATATATCTATTATATACATATTTTTGTAAAAATACATATAATTTGTTGGTTAATTGATAATGAATATAAGCAATTTATATGATGATAAAGAAATAAAAATTATATTGAAATAAAAGTAAAAATATTTTACTGCATCTCTCTAAAAATACATTAATAAAATAAAATAAAATGATTTTTTATTTTATAAAATTATAAAATTATGTGAAATGATGTGTGATTTATTAAAAGATTTTGTATTTTATTAAGACAAAATTTATTACTAGAAATAAATCAATTTCAGATTCAATGATAATATTATCTAATCTTTTAATATCTTTTTTTAGATTATTTTGTATATTTTTCTGTTTATATAAATTCAATTCTATTAATTTACACACACATATAAAATACGTATAATATTTTGATTAAGTATTGTTTTTAAAATTACGATTTATTAAACGTAATAACAATGAATTTCTTTAACGTAATTGCAATGATTGTCTTATCAATTTCCTTTGATGTAGATGACATTTATAATGTTCATGATTATCAGTTCTTCATAAGACAATATCACTTTATCTGCTAGAAAATTAGATTAATCTATCTTTGCTATCTTGACTGCAATTCATAATGTACACAAAGATACCTTTGATAAAGAAATAATTGCATTTTGTGAAATCTAATATGAATGTTTGTTAAAATATTCAACTTTCATATATTTAACGTTACATATCAAGTAAATTAGATATATTTATAAATTACATGAATAACATGAATAACAAGCAATTATATTACTTTTATTATTACTAAATATGTTATCTTGAAAACAATATTTTAGATCGATTGGAATGCACAACATTGATATATTTTGCCATTTATATTTTATTTTTTTTTATTGGAAGGCATTAATATTATTAAATAATAGAATTTTAAATAAAATATTTGTATTTATAATAAAAATAATTTTATAATAAAAATTTGATAAAAGAAGATGTAAATTGATAAGTATCATTCTAGAAAACAATTATTAATTTATTACTACAAATTATTAATTTGTTATTATAAATTAATAATAAAATTATTATACATATAATATTATTGGCAAAATTATTATTACACAATATTAAAATACGAAGAAATGTGCTAATTAATTTGTACTTTTAAAAAAATATTACAATTAATTAGATATAAGTAATTAAATTGTTGATGATTTATATAATTTTAATCAACAAATCCATTGCACTATATTTAAAATTTTTAATTATGAGATTAATAGATATGAGATTACGAGATATTTTTATGACATTTTATCTGATCAAAATGTTCGTCATTTTATCTAATACATTGTTCAAAAACAAAATTAAACCAGGATATTTAGATATTTTTTTCAAATATTAAAACAATTATATTGTAATTTAATTTAATACAATAATATAAATATTAAAACAATTATATTGTAATTTAATTTAATAAATAATAAAATAATACAATTATTTTATTCAATTATTCAGTACCAATGTACTGAGCAAGCCAATTCGAAAAAGTAGATGTTCTTGTGTACACGTCCGGGTATCCGACTGCGCATGGTCGCACAAACGAGGCAAGCCCGATTTGAATGCCATTGGCAACGAGCGGACTACCAGAATCACCCTAAAAAAGACATTTGTTAGAAACAATGTTGCAACGCGAAAAAGATAAAAATTTTTATATTTTCAGGATATAGAAATAATAATAAAATATATTTTTAAAATTCTCTTCTATGGGATACAATGTATAATAAAAACTGTTAAAGAAAAATGAGAAATAGATCCGGTTTATCAAATTACCATTGACTTAAAAATTTTGGAATTTATCATTTACAATTAGGCATTTTTTAATAATTACATGCGTTTATCAAAAATTAAAGATAACAGTTCAATTTGTTATTATAATTTATTATTTTTTTAAATAAAATTAATTATCCATACTCACATGGCATGCTCCTTGACCATATTGTGAAAACGCACAGATATGACTTTCTCCTACATTCCAAAATGCAACTTTGCACTTCAATTGCGAGTAAACTTTTAAGTTGACCTTCTGAAGCTTATCAGGTACTTTGCCCATAAACTGAAAATAATTGAAAAAAGACGAATTAGAAAAATTAAAAGATACAATTTGATATAAAAGTGATTTTAGAAAAGCGATAGGATTTCAAAAAATTCTTAATGATTTGATTCTCATTGCAAGCAACATTTTATGATATGCACATAATATTTCACAAACAGGAAAAAAAGAATTAAGAAAGGCATTAATTATCCATTAGAATAATGTTGGCTTAATATGACACTTTTTTTACCTCGAGTCTTCCCCATCCTGTCAGAAAACAAGGATCGCCAGTCAAAACGGAATTCGTTTTTGCGACAGAGATTGGTTGCACCAATTTGTTATATTCTATATCTGTATTCAGGCGAAGTAAACCAATATCATTACGAATTAGAGGCAGATTAAAATCAGGATGAAGAATGGCTGCTTCAGGTTTATAAACATAACCGGCTTCGCTCAAAAGATTTGTGCCAGCGTGTACTGTTACGTCTTTAAGATCTTCAGGATCGGTGAATCTGTATCATAGAAAAAAAAATATAAAATATAAGATTTATATATTAAAATCAATTTTGGTTCACACAATTGCTTGAATATCTTAATTTCATTAAGTTAATAATAATTATTATTAAAGAAGAGAGGATAGAGAGTGAAAAAGTTGGATATAAAAATATTTATCTGTTCAAAGATTTTCCAATCTTTTTTTTAATTTTTAGAACAAAGCATTTAATAATTATATTTTATTTCTTGCGTAAGAGGCAACGTACTTCATGAGACAATGAGCCGCGGTGAGAATATAACGTTTAGCGATAATAGATCCACCGCAAAAATGACTGTTTTTACGTCTCAGAGACACCATATAAGGATGCGCTCCAACTGCAGCATCAGTCCCACCAACAATCTGACCATCTATCTTTGGCAATGCGGCTGAAAAAAATTTTTGACTATAACACGACTGTTGCAATAAAATATTTAAATATTTCCATTATACTTTGAAGTGAATTAACTGTTATATTTTGTTGTGGTTTGCATCGTCATGAATAAAATCAAGACTGATTTTCGTATTTTTATATCTAAATTCAAACATAGATTTATTTTACTAATAAATATTTTGCACTGTAAAAATTTTACAGTATTTCTTATTGCTCACCATAACTGACTGCTGCTAAACAAGTAAGCAGGAGACCAAAGAATATTATGTGCATTGTGAACGATTAGCTACTATTAAAGAAAAATGTTTTATTTCAGACGTATATATACTTGGTTTGATGTATATAAGATAATACATGCATGCTGATTTGTAAAAATAAAAGAATTCGAAGATTAGATTATTTATTTTTGATTAGATAAAAATTTGAAGCAATATAAATGTCATTTTAATCAGAGATATAGTTCGGAACTTTGATATATAAAGATAATTGGCCGTGAAACTGTCTGAAAGTGTTTAACTTTACGTATTGTAATTTGTGTATTTGCTTTAAATCAAATTTTATAATTATAATTTTTTCTTTACTAGATATCTCTTTAATTTTATTTAAAAAAATTTTTTTGCTAAATTTGCATCTCTCTCAAATGCATTTATAAAATTAACATCATAAGATTAAATAATTTTGCTTTTCTACTAATATAAATAATACAATATATCGTATAATATTGTATACAATTATATAATATCATTTATTGCACGAATAACAATAGCGTTTAGTTATTATAATTAAAAACATTAGTCTTCATATCAAAATATAAAAAAACGATAAAGAAATTACTATATTGTTATTTATAAATTTATTTAATTAATAAATAGAGACATAATATATTTTATAAAATAATTTTTTTAAACTGTGTTATTAATTGAATTACGAATAAATTATATAAGATGGAAAAATATTTTAAAAAACAAATTAAATAATATCATTTAACGTTTCAGATTCTTGGTAATTCAAGATTTAAAACTGGACATTTTTGTGTAAACTTGTATCTGGATATCCAAATGTGCATGATATACTAAAGGATATAATTTTAATGACATATTAATTGAAATTATAATATTTCCTTTCTCTGTTTTAATTATATTATAAAAGAATATTTTTGCTAAAGTTACGTCAAGACTTTATTTATAATAAAATCATAAGATTTACAAATTTTAACTTGTATAAATAAAAAATTAATATCATTTATTGTAGATAGCACTTAATTTATCTAAGAGTATTATATTTAAATCATATATTTAAAGCTAAAATAAAAATACAAAATAAATTATTATAATTTTATTTATTTTAAAATTATATTTAATTAATAATGAAAGTGTAACACAATCATTTTTGTAAAAACAATGTGCCCCGAGTGTTATTAATTTTTTTTATTATGTTGTTGAATTACAAATGTTGCATAAAGACAAGAGGTCTTTTAAAGAACAAATTAAATAATATCGTTTAATTTTTCATATTAAGCGAAATCCAATTTCTAAAACTGGACACTCTTGTGTAAACGTCTGGATATCCAAGCGAACAAGGAATACCGAAAGATACGATTCCAATTTGAGTACCATTGGCTACCAAAGGTCCACCAGAATCGCCCTAGAAATATATAATGAAATTAATAATAAAATATCGTTACTTAATAATTAGCAATAACAAATTGCTAATTATTAAGTAAAACTCATTATAATAATTTTATTATTAAATAAAAATTTTATCAATACATAATCAGATACTTTATTGTAATTTTTATATATCATTAATTCTCTGTTATGTTTTTACAATGCTGTATAGAAATATATAATAAATATAATATTTATTTGTTTAATATAATATTAATAATAATAACGACTTACGTTGCACGCTCCTTCCCCTTTCTTCAAAGTGCAGATATGGCTATCTTTAATGGTCATTTTCTGGTTTGTCTCTTCCTCTATCTGTGACTTGCAATCTTTCTGTGAGTAAACTACCAGTTGAATTTCTTGTAAGTTGTTAGGAGTATTTCCTCCAACCTGAAAAAATAAATGCTTTAAAAATTGAGTGCATAACAAATAATACATAAGGGCTAATAATTATGATCACAACGTTTTTCAATTTTATTTTAATTTATCATTTATATGCAAAACGATATAATTCTCTAACAAGAATTTATTTTTAGGTATATGTAGTTAAATCTAAAAAATTCATGAATTCGACATTACCCTTGTAGTTCCCCAACCGGTTAACGTACAGGGCTTGCCTTCAAGATTTTTATCATCTGTCGCAAGTTTTACCGATTGCATTAAGTTGGTTGCACTAAATTTAATAGGATTGTTGAGATGGATAATGGCAATGTCATTAAGCAACTCAATTGGGCTGTAATCTTCGTGCATGGTAACACTTTTTATACCAAAAACCTCTCCTGTTTCATTCAGAAAGTTCGTGCCAGCGTGGATCTTGTATCCGTCCAATCTTTCCCTAAAATATATAATTTTAAAATTCCATTTTAGAATTATATATTTTATTATTATAAACTTATTAGTATAGGTTTTATTATAATATTTTATTATTCTATTATTATTATATATTAAATATGATTATATATTTTATTATTATATATTAAAATATGAAAATTCCATATATTGATGTAGATTTGAATAACATACCCATAAATACAATGCGCTGCGGTTAACACAGTACGATTATTGATGATTGATCCACCACATAAATGTGAGCCGTGAAATCTCAAGGACACTTGATATGGATATTTGCCGATGGGAGCATCCTTACTGCCGACAATACGAGAGGACGGAGCTCCTTAATGATGAAAATAAAATAATTTCGTTAACATCGTGTACATAAATATCTATATGGTTATTTTGTTTAAATAAGGCCAATTAAACGTCGCGGCGATTCAAAAACTAAATAAATTGTTTGAGAAAGTTATAATTTTATTTAGAAAAATATCTTTTTCAAAAGTTGTTATTAATGTCATATTAACTTTAAGATCCGTATTTAAGAAATATGTAGAAAAGCGTTCTCCTTAAACCCATATAACTTGTGTATGATGTATCATTTATGTTAATAAATTATTTACGCGTACCTAAAATTTTGTGTATAAATGTCATATCTCACGTAATTAATCTTTTTTTATATATTTGTATTAACGTAATATGTAATAGAGTAATATATATAAAAGTTATAAAACAGACTCTCGCATTATTAAAAACTTTTCTTATATTAAAAGATAATTGCTTTATGCATATATTATAAAAAGATGCATTACCTTTTTTCCTTTTTCTTTCAATACCACTTTTTTAATTAATATATTTCTAATTTGTAAAGTCATACCTTGAGCTGTATATGCCAATGCGATTAACACGAAACAAACAAACATGTGCATCTTCACAAATATGTTGTTGAAACTGGATAGCAAAGAACTGGATAGCAAGGGTATTTATAGAAGCATATTAACCAAGGCGAATATTATCTTTATCAAATACATTGTTAAGTAATACATTGTTAAGTGCCAACGTTTCGTTAATATTGCAGTTTATTTTGTCAGGGCAGCCTTATAATGTGGTAACACATTAGTGATAACACATTATCAATCTGCTTCTCGTTCTGATGAAGTAAAGTGCAACGTTCACGAAATGTTGGCATTTAACAATGTATCATGACATGGATAATATCCGTAAAAATATTAATGTTTTGATTTGTTTTTAATTTTTCTCATGTCACGATATGCCATATAACGAAATATCATTATTTACAATTTATTTTATGCAATTTTATATATATATAAAATAAGAATAGTCTAGTTTTTATATGTGTTTCTTAAATTGTCATAATTTCATTTTTCTTAGAATAATCAGAATTCATGATGAAGTTTTTAATTAAAGTTCATAATTATAAGTTTTTCTCTACTAGATATCTCTTTAATTTTATCTCAAAAAATTTCTCTTTGCTAAATTTGCGTCTCTCTTAAATGCATTTAACATTATAAAAGTAAAAAATTTTGCTTTTTAATAACATAAATAATAGAATAATATCGTTTACGCGGATAACAATAGCGTTTAACTTCTGTAACTAAAAAGCATCAGTCTTCATACCGAAAAATAAAAAATAAAGAAATTATTATATTATTAATTATAAATTTATTTAATTAATAAATATAGAGGATATAATATAGAGGATATAATATAGAGGATATAATATATTTTATAAAATAATTTTCTTAAACTGTGTTATTAATTGAATTACAAATAAAATGCATAAGACGGGAAAATTTTAAAAAACAAATTAAATAATCATTAAAAGTTCCAGATTCTTGGTAATCCAAGATTCAAAACTGAACATTCTTATGTGAACTTGTGTCTCTTGATGTCTGAATATCCAAGTTCGCAAGATATACTAAAGGACATAATTCTAATTAAATTTTAATTGAAATTATAATATTTCTTTTTATATCACTCTCTGTTTTAATTATATCTTAAAAAATTTTCTCCTGCTAAATTTGTGTCAAGACAACTTATAATAAAATCATAAGATTTATAAATTTTGATTCATATAAATAAAAAGTTAATATCGTTAATATCGTTTATTGTAGATAGCGCTAAATTTATCTAAAGGTGTTATTAATTGAATTACAAATGTTTCATAAAGTCGAGAGATATTTTAAAAAACAAACTAAATAATATTCAGTATTTTTTTTTATATTTGTGTTAATCCAAGAAATGAATTTGGACACTCTCGTGTAAACGTCTGGATATCCAAGCTCAGAGTAACGAAAGATGCGATTCCAATTTGAGTACCATTGACTACCAAAGGTCCACCAGAATCGTCCTAAAATAAAAATAAAATTAATAATAAAATATCGTTACTATAACAATAACAAATTGTTAATTATTAAATAAAACTCATTATAATAATTTCATTATTAAAATAAAAATTTTATCGATACATCAGATACTTTATTATAATTTTCATATTATTAACTCTTTGTTATGCACTATTTACAATATGTTATATAGAAATATATAATCAATATTTATTTGTTTAATACAATATTAATGATAATAATGACTTACGTTGCACGCTCCTTCCTTTTTCTTAATCAAAGATATGCACACTCCTTTCTTTTTCTTAATGCAGATATGATTATCTTTAATGATCACTTTCTGGTTTGCATCTTCCTCTACCTGTGACTTGTAATCTTTCTATGAATAAATTACCATTTGAATTTCTGGTAAATTGTTAAAAATATTTCCACCAACCTGAAAAAATAAATACTTTAAAAATTGAGTACACAACAAATGATACATAAGCGCTAATAATTATGATCACAATGTTTTTCAATTTTACCTTTAATTTGTCACTTATATGCAAAAAAGATGTAATTCTCTAACAGGAATTTATTTTTAGGTGTATGTAGTTAAATATAGAAAATTACCTTTGTAGTTCTCTAACCGGTTAACGTACATGGCTTGTCTTCAAGATCTTTATTGTCGCAAGTTTTGTCGGTTGTACATTGGTGTATTTAATTATTATTAAGTATTAAGTATTAAGTATTAAGAATTTTTAAGATGGAGGATAGCAATCGTCATTAATAAGCAAATCGCTGTCGAAATATTTATTGATGCTAGCACTTTCTATGCCATAAACATCTCCTGTTTCGTTCAAAAAGTTCGTGCCAGCATGGACCTTTTATCTAACGTATCTTTTATCCTAATAATAAGAAAAGTCATGTCAGTATATGTGTATTTTGCATTCATGTCCATTTGACACATTAAAGAATTAGTTTTATAACAAAATTTTGGATTACATATTTCATTTATGAAATTATATATATTACAATATGAAATTTCATATGCTGATGTAGATTTGAATAACATACCCATGAATACAATGCGCTGCGGTTAACACATTACGATTATTGATGATTGATCCACATAAATGTGAGCCATGAAATCTCAAGGACACTTGATATGGATATTTGCCGACGAGAGCATCCTTATCACCGACGATACGAGAGGACGGAGCTCCTTAATGATAAAAATAAAATAAATTTGTTAACATTGTGTACATAAATATTTATATGATAAATATTATTATGTTTAAATAAGGCCAATTAAACGTTGTTGTTGGCCAATTAATACATTGGTGATAACACATTGTCAGGCTGCTTCTCATTCTGATGAAGTCAACTACAATGTACACAAAACGTTAAAATTTAACAATGTATCATGATATTGATAATACCCGTAAGAATATTAATGGCTTTGATATTGCTTTTAATTTTTCTCGTGTCACGATATCCCATATAATGAAATATTACTATTTATAATTTATTTGATACAATTTTGTATATCAATGAAGCTGATTGTGTTTTTATATATGTTTCTTAACTTATAATCTCATTTTTTCAGAATAATTAGAATTTATGCCTGTTTATCTGATAAAGAATATGATCCGATGAAATGCTTGCGCAACAATGGATCAAGGGATTCAGTTGAAAAATAAAGAGTTTATATTGAAAAATAGTATTATTTTAAGATCTCTATTGTTATAGTAATACAAATTATGACGTTCAAATATTGCGAAAAATATTACTGTAACCAAAAATCGATGACTTACTTTCCGAATGTTTTTACCATTCGACTACTGAGGCATGGTAATATTTATCGCAAAAAGTAGATAAGTAACGATAAAAGTAGATAGATAAGTAACCAGGAGAAACGTATTAGAATTATCTAAATAATTATTGCAATAAATACTATCACATGCCTTAATGGTCGAATAATTAAAACACTCGCATGAAAAATAAGTAAGTAGTCCAGGTTCGATTCTTGATTGGGATAATATTTTTCGCAATAAAAGTTTCATTGAGGAAGGGATTGGTCGATTTTTCGGAAAAAATTATTTTTGATTTATTAAAAAGTAAATCGAGATATTGCTTTAAGCGGACTATGTGGCAAGTTGATAATTTAACAACATATACTTTACAATATAAAGCATTAACCTTGAATTTATGTATATTCAAGGAAACAAAAGAAAAATTATTTGACAATAAGAGTTTGTCTATCGATTAATGCTATGTATAATCTTTTTATTATTTTATTAAAACATATACGGCTTAAATTATTGTTTAGAAATTATTAGATTGTTATTTACAAATTTATTTAGTTTATAAATAAAAAAAGTCATATTTTATAAGAATAGTTTAATAGAATTCTTATATAGATAAAGTGACGTTAACAAACAAATGAAAATAGTATGGTTTAATTTTTCTATTTTCTATTTAGCAAGATCCATATCACGTAACTGGTCACTCTCGTGAAAATGTCTGCATATCCAAGTGCGCAAGGGGTACCAAAGGAAACAATACCAATTTGAACTCCATTGGCCACTAAAGGTCCACCGGAATCACCCTGAAATAAAGATACAATGAATAATAAAATGTTATCATTGTTACAATAACAAACTTCTTATTATTAAAAATTATTATAATTATTTCATTATTAAATTAAAAATTTCATCGATATGTGATCAGATATTTTTAATGTTGTAATTTTTTTACGTTGTATCTCCCTATTTACTTTTATTTTTAATGTTATATAAAAATATGTAATTAAAATTAATTTTTTGAATATGACATTAATGATTAATAGCTTACGTAGCATATTCCTTCTCCTATTTTAGTCAAAGTGCAGATATGATTGTTCGTCACTCCTTCTTCTATCATACACAGGCTTTGTGGATAGACCATCAGCTCAATTTCTTGTAAACTATTAGAAATCTCACTATCAAGCTGGAAAAAATAAATGCATTGAAAATTAAAACATGATGAACAATAAAACGACAACTAATAATTATAGCTAAAATGTTTTCTTATTTATTATTTTAAATAGAAGAATATAGATATTATATAGAATATAGATATTATATAGATTATATAGAAGATAGGTGATTCAAACACGGTTGGACAGAAGCTTTAGTGCTTATTGATTTATTATGTAAGTAAGCAGCATATAGTTGGCAATAAAGGCAAAATCTTTTTTTCAATTTTTTGAAGAAATTCAAAAATTGAAAAAATTAATGTGTTAAAAATCATCGTTTGATCGTGTAACATCTTAATTGTCTATTTTCTCTATTAAGCATACCAGCATCCACATATACTTTTATATTAGTTTAATTTATTACAAAAAAATAAAAAGTAATAATTTTTTTAAAAAGCTACTTATTTTTGGATATATTAAATTTGAAAAATTTATATATATAATAAGTTTGATGTTACCTTTGTAAATCCCCATCCGGTTAATGTGCACGATGCGCCATCGAGATTTTTATCGGATGTCGCAAGTTCTATCGGTTGCACAAATGTATTGTATACGATAGGACTTTTAAGATGAATCACGGCAATATCATTAGCAAATGTAGAATTGTCGATAATGTTCATACTAACGCTGTGTATGTCATACACATCACCCGTTTCATTCAAAAAGTTTGTGCCAACGTGGACTTTTAGCAAGTCCAGTATATTTTCTCTCCTAAATAAAGAAAGCATATAAATACATATACCGCATCTCACTTAACATTATGATAAGGTAAAGAATTAATTATAAAGTTAAATAGTAATTCCACTAATAACATATTGATGTAATAAAATTCAATCAAATAGTATAGTTCAAATAGTATTTAACGTACCCTCTAATGCAATGTGCCGCGGTTAACACATTAAGATTATCGATAATTGATCCACTACATAAAAATACTACATTGAAAAATCTCAAAGATACTTGATATGGATATTTGCCAATAGGAGCATCCCTACCACCGATAATCTGAGGGGACGGAGCTCCTTGCATAAATAAAAGTAATTACATTAATATATGCAAAATAATACTTTTTTTATATAGAAGTTTGTATATTTTTAGTAAATGTATATGCAATAATCTAAACTAAAGTTATAAATATTGAACAATAGTGTGCAGTGTTATTTTTAATAAGAATTTCGTTTATATTAGAAAGTAATTTCTCTATGTATGTACTAAAAAAAAATATATATTTCTTTCTCTATTCTTTTCTTCCTTTCGTAATTCTCTTTTTCTCCTGTTATAAGAAAAAAATTATAATAATTTATAAATTTGTACCTTGTGCGGCATATACCAAAGCGATGAATATAAAAAAAGCGTATTTATGCATCTTTGTAGATATATTGAGACTAGTGAAGTGAAGAAAGGATCTTATAAGTTTATATACCTCTGAGCTAGTTGTAACAAAGATATAAATCATCTTGTCAGTTGACACTTCTCGATTTTTCTCAAGTTGCGGTATCATATCGCAATATCTTATTACTTATATTGCACTTGTACAAGGTGTCCATGTAGCAACTATATTATCTCTCATAGGAAAGTAGAACAAATTATATTAAGTAAAAAGAACTCTGTATCATCTTGCAATTTTCGCAATTATATTATTAATAATTAAAAAGTTATTAATTTATATAAAGGAGCCAACATTTATGCAAAAGGCCAACATTACGAACGTTCATGACGCGCGACAAGATGTTTGAATATGACAAATAATAGGACATTTGTTTATGGTGCATACTTTCAATATGTTGCCATACACCTAGAAATCATGAACGTATGTAATACTGGGCTGTTCTTTTGTGCAAATGCTCGCTCATTCACGGATGTGTATACATTAGTATACAATTCTATATTTATTTCAAGAGCCACAAAGTGGTACAACATTTTTCTGTTCAATACAATACACTCTACTTACCCACGAGAGGTGATTGTCAGACATCCTATATATTGATAAAAGTGACAGTTTCTTATTAAATTCATACTGTTTGCGTTCAGTTTTAACTTTCCGTAAAAAAAAATTTAATATTTATATTTATTTATCTGATACGCAGTTTAACTTTTAATTTGTTCTTATCGATTCTATGTCCTCAATAGATTTCTCGATAATGTTATGTAAAAATCAATATATCTTTTGTAAAAAGTTACTAAAGTTTATCTGATCTAAAAATTTCAAAAAATTTGTAATTAATAAAAAATAAAATTTTTATTTATAATTATCAAATAATTTAATAATATTTTAAATAGAAGTTATAATTTATATATTAAAAAAATTAATATTATATTTAAATAAGGTAAAAAGATTATGTAAACATTTAGTTTTATACCTTATATTAAACTTATTAAAATTTGTAATTATATTATTTTACTTTTTTTTATTCGGATTCACTTTTAATTATATCTTAATTATATCTTAAAAAATCTTTTTTGGCTAAATTTATATCAAGTTCAGTTATAATAACAATGTAAGATTAACAAATTTTTTATTTTAATAATATAAACAAAATGTTAATACTGCTTATTGTGAAGAATAATAGCGCAACTAAAAGTATATATCTAAATCTCATATATTAAAAAAATAAAAAATTAATTATTATATTTTTATAGATTCTGACATTTTTTTATTAATAATGGGAAGTATAATACACTTTATAAAAAAAACAATTTGTTTAAAGCTTATTATTAATTATGTTACATAATGCATAAAACATAATTTAAATTATATGTGTACATATATATTTATAAATTTAATATGTTATTTATGTTTTATGTTTAAATAAATATAATTAAATAAATAACAAAATATTAGATACTCTTGTAAAATCCAAATATTCCAAATATTCAAGAGTACAACAGATATAAAAAAAATAATTTTAATTTAAGTTAATTACTAAAGATACATCAGAATCATCCAAGAATAAAAATAAAATTAATAAACATTAAAATCATCATTATTATAGCAATAACAAATTATTATTAAATAAGTATTATTATTAAATAAAAATTATTATAAAAATAAAAGTTTTATTATTAAAATAAAAGTTTCATTTACATATATACAATTAAATTAAATTTTTAATATTATAATTTTCAATATTATTAACTCTCTCTTATACTTTTATAATGTTATAAAAATATAAAATTAATATTAATTTGCTTAATATAATAATATCAATGGCTTACGTGGCATGCTCTTTCTCCTTTTTTAATAAAAAATGCAAATATGACTGTTATTTCCTGTAATACTCTCTTGCACTCTCTTTCTACGAATAGATTAAATTCAATTTCTCACAATTCTTCACTTCTTTATTACTGCTTCCACGAACGTAAAATGGCAAATACACGTTAAGAATTTAAGTATAACAACGAATAAAATAACAAATAATTATCTAATATTTCTTTATTTGTTAATTCTAATTTGTTATGTGTTTATGTGTAAAAAATTATATGATTTTTTTTTACAATATGTACAATATGTACAAAATGTACAAAAAAGCATTTATTTTTAGATATGTATTGTTAAATCTGAAAAAATCTACGTATTGTGTTCGATATTATTCTTGTAGTTTCCCAATCAGATAATGTGACGGCTTACCTTCAAGATTTTTATTATCTATCAAGTTTTATTAATTGCACTAATTTGTTATATTTAATAGGTTTTTCAAAGTAAATTACGAAAATGTCATTAATAAATAAAGATCTATTATCATTTTTTAATTACTAGCACTTTCAATGTCAGAAACATCATTTATTTCATTCAAAAAGTGAATCTTTCATTCACGTTGGCACAAATCTTTGTGGAAAGAATCTAACATATTTTCTTTTTAATAATAAGAAAAGTATATACATATTTTACATTTTATGTCTATTGGGCATATAGAATTAATTTTATAATTAAATTCCATTCTAATAATAGAAATATACAATAAATCATACATTCCATTCATTTAATGCACTTATTTCCATTCCTATTTGGTAATTGTTTCTATATTTTCAATATATTTATTCAGTAAAAATTAATTTAAATCTTGTAAAGTAAAAAGTTACAAGTTTGTCTACTCTTTGATTTTGACAATATATAAATAATTAATTAAAAAGAGAAATTTTAGTCATAAACGTAAAATAAATTTTTAATAATATTTTAAATAAAAGTTATTTGCATTGAGAAAAAAAGTATCGAATTCAAATATATAAGAAATTGTAAACATTTAATTTAATATATATTTATATCAGTATTGAACGTATTGAATTTTGTACTATAATCTTTCTGTTTTTACACAAATTTCATTTATGTTTAATATATTTTAAATGATCTTTTTTTACTAAATTTTAAGTATCAGATTTATTTACAATAATATTTACAAATTTTAATTTTTATAATAACGAATAAATATTAATATTAATATGAATAATATGAAAAAAATATTAATATTAATATCGTTTACTGTGCATAACAATCGCGGTTAGTGTAACTGGGTGCATTATATATCTAAATATTATATTCAAAAATAAAAGAAAAGTAAAATTTAAATTACTTATGTTGTTATTTGTATTGAAATTTTATTTAACTAATAAAGAGAGCATGATACATTTTGGAAAAACAATTTGTTTAAATTGTATTATTAATTGAATTACAAATGTTATATAGATTAGGAAATCTTAAAGAACAAATTAAATAATATCGTTTAATTTTTCATATTAAGCGAAATCCAATTTCTAAAACTGGACACTCTTGTGTAAACGTCTGGATATCCAACCGCGCAAGGAGTACCGAAAGATACGATTCCAATTTGTTCTCCATTGGCCAACTCCACCAAAGGTCCACCAGAATCACCCTGGAATAAAAATGAAATTAATAATAAAATATCGTTACTATAACAATAATAAATTACTCATTAGTAAATAAAAGTTATTATAATCATTTCATTATCAAAATAAAAATTTTATTAATACGTAATCAGAACTTTTAGTATTATAATTTTCATATTATTAACTCCCCATTATGCTTTTACAATTTATGGAAATATATAATTAATAATGATTTGTGCTCAATATAATATTGAATGATAATAGCGGCTTACGTGACATGCTCCTTCTCCTTCCTTAGTCAAAGTGCAGATATGGCTATCTGTCACTCTCCATATCTCTGCCTCGCAGTCTTTCTGCGGATAAACTAACAATTCAATTTCTTGCAAGTTGTTAGGAGTATTTCCACCAAGCTGAAAAAATATATACGTTAAGAATTGAAGTATACAAAAAAATAATACATAATGGCTAATACTGGTAATTAAAATGTTTTTCAGTTTTCCTTTCGATTTGTAACTTATATATAAAAAATGATTCTCTAATGAGAATTTATATACACACACACACACATATATATATATATATATATATATATATATATATACATATAGAGTTAAATCTGGAAAATCCATGTATCATGAGTTCGATATTACCCTTGTAGTTCCCCAACCGGATAATATGCATGGTTTGCCTTCAAGATCTTTATCTTGTCGGCTCTCGTCTGTCGCAAGTTTTATCGGTTGTACTACATTGGTGTACTTAATAGGATTTTCAAGATGGAGAATGGCAATGTCATTAACGAGCAAATAGCTGTCGAAATCTTTGTTCACGCTGGCACTTTCTACATCATAAACATCTCCTGTTTCGTTCAAAAAGTTTGTGCCAGCATGGACCTTCAACTGATCTAACATATTTTCTCGTCTAATAATAAAGAAAAACAATATCAGTATATATATGTACATTTTTCGCATTTATGTCCATTTGACACAATTAGTTTTATAATGAAATTCCATTTTATATATTGATATAGATTTGAATAACATACCCCTCAACGCAATGCGCCGCGGTTAATATATTATATTCATTCAGGATAGATCCACCACATGAGTGTGAGCCTCGAAATCTCAAAGACACTTGATATGGATATTTGCCGATAGGAGCATCCTTACCACCAACGATACGAGGAGATGGAGCTCCTTAATGGTAATTGAAAATAAAATAATTTTGTTAACATCATGCACATTAATATCTATATTACTATTTTCTTTGAATAAAAACATTGAATGAAACATTGCGGCGATTCAAGAACTGAATGGATTCTTTGGGGAACGTTATAAATTTATTTAAAAAAAATTTGTTTTCAAAAGTTTTTATTGTTAGTGTTAATATTAACGTTAAAAGATACATATTTAAGGGATATACAGAAATCAGTACATATTCTTCTAGATTCATTTGTATAATTTGTTTAAGATGTCATCATTTATATTAATATATTATTGACACACATGAAATTTTGTATATAAATGTTATATTTAATGTAATTAATTTTTTATGTTTAATATTAAACGTACAGCAATATGTATAGAAGTTATAAAACGGACACTCGTGTTATTATGAGGAACTTTTCTTAAGTTATATTAAAAAATATTGCTTTATCCATGAATTATAAAAAGATACATCTTCTTTTGCTTCTTCTTTCAGTATCTCTTTTTCTAATATTATCGTTTATAATTTATAAAGTCATACCTTGAGCGGTGTACGCCAAAGCAATTAACACGAAACAAACAAACGCGTGCATCTTTACAGATATGTTGCTGAAACAAACTGAAGCAAAGAGACTTTGAAGCAAATAAATGCATTTATAGTTTATATAACTTATTGAAACAAAGATATAAATCACATGCCTGTGACATTGCTTTTAATTTTTCTCATGTCACGATATATCTCATACGATAAAATATTATTATTTATAGTTTATTTTATATATCTTTACATATCAATAAAAATTATAGTTTTTTAATATATGTTTCTTAACTTGTTATAACTTTCCCTAGAATAATCAGGATTTCTCCCCCCCCTCCCCGTTTATTTTATGAACAGATCTGATTAAATCTTATCTAGCATTACTATGTAACATTTGCTCCTGTGATATCGTCTGTGATAGATTGATAAATAATAATAAAAATCAATATATGAGTAGTCAATAATTATCAACAATGATACTTAAAATTTATTTCACACTATTGCATTACTGATTACGAACGTATAATGTCTGTGTATTTTCTCTCATCATGGTCTCTTTTTCATTTGAAGGATTTTCAACAATCAGTTATATTATCGTAAGATTAACCATGGCCGCTCCGCTTTCTATTTGAATAAAAAAAGAGCGTATATAGTGATTTGTTTTTTTGGAAAATATATCAGAAACCAAAGTCCATTAAAGAATGTCAAGAAGTGAAAATAGTGTGAGGAAATAATGTATTGGCGCAATAGATTGTTTACGAATGGAAAGTACAATAAGTTGCACAAGTGTCATAGACAACATAGAAAAAAAAAATTGGACGCCCGTCCACCATCGAATACGATATTGAACCAGTGTGTGACATGATTCTATCGGATAAATGGGTGACTATTAATGATAAAATCGTAATTTTTTTCTCAGATTAAGAACTGAAAGAAACAGTGTATGTGTAACTTGTCTCTTAACCGAAAACATGTTTTTCTGAAGGTATAAAAAAGCTTATGCACCAATGAATCAAATGCATTGAAAAACAAAGGGACTACATTAAAAATGAAGTTATTGAATTAAAATCTTTATTGTTATTATAATAAGAATTATGATTACATTGCGGATAATTATAATTATTGATTCACTTTCGTAAATTTTGTAAAGAGTTACGTACAATTTTGTTTAGTATAAATTAATCAGGAATTAGTTTTAAGTTTCGATAGAGCTATAATTAATAAATAATAAAAAGTTTTTTCGGAAATTATTAAAATAATTTTCATGGTTCTTCGAATTTCTTTAAAAATTTCTTTAAAAATAAATTGAATAATAATTTAATTTAGTTCTAAAAAATTATAAAAATTATGACCAAAATAGCAAAAATATAATAATTTCTTTAAATCTCTTTAATATCTTTTTAAATATTTTTAAATTAATATTAATTTTATTTAATTTTTTAAAATTAAAAATCAGAAATAATATAATCAGAAAAAAGATTAAAATCTCAAATATATGTCAAAGAAAATGAATCAAATATATGTTAACTCACAATCAATGGAAAAGTGAATAAAAAAATAGATAGTTTTGTCTTATGATTTTGCAACTATCTTTTTAAAACAAAAATATTCTATTTAAATAAAATATAAGAAATATTGTATTTGAACATTATATTTAAATAATATGTATATTTTTTTCAAATAATTATAGCATTATACAAAGATGTTTAGGCATGAGATGCGCAGACAAAAATAATTATTTATACATTCACATTTAATAATCTTCAGAAAATTTTTATTAGTCATAATTTCCAATTTTCTTTTTTAACATGCACAATTATAGTTATATATACAAAATGTTTCATAACGGAATTTATACTTATAAAATAAGTATCAAAAAATTAACATATTTAAATAATAATATGTGTATAAAATAATATCTCATTTTATCTTTGTTCTTAATTATTGAACCATGTTTTGTTGAATCCAATCTGTGAATGAGCTCACTCTAGTGAATACATCAGGAGCACCACGAGCACACGGTATACCGAAGGAAACAATGCCGATTTGAACACCATTGGCAACAAGAGGACCACCAGAATCACCCTGAAAATTTAATAGAAATACAATAACTAATTGTTTGTAAAATTTATAATTTTAAATAGTTTAATTTATTTATCTGATTTAATTATTGTCATTTACTTAATTATGACATGAGTTATTTCCTCCAAAAATAAATTATAAATATTTATATAGCTCCAATATATTTGTAGCTTTCACAATAAATAAATTAAAGATAATTTTGAAATAAATAATTTTATATATTGATAGTAAATTTGCAACTTAACATTATATCCTATTTAAATATTTTTAGTATCTATAATATTGTATAATTTTATAATTCTTTTTTTTTACAGAAAAAAATTGGAATTATTAAAAAGTTAGAATTACTATATATTTCGAGAAAGAAATGAGATAAATAACGAGATACGAATACTTTTTTTATTTATGACATGTAGTGATATTTTAGATAATAAAATTTGTAAACAAATACTTACGTGACATGCACCTTCGCCTGCTTTCGTGAGTGTGCAAATGTGACTAGATCGTACTTGCCAGTGTCTTAGGCTACATTTGCCTTGATCATAAACGTTCAACTCAATCTCTTGTAAATTGTTAGGGACTCGACCACCAAACTGAAAATAAATAAGAAGTTTATTGTAAATGCATTACAAGAAATTTATTAAAGATACTATTTTAGTTTTGTGTGTTTTATGTGCGTGTATTTATAAAATTTTTATGTAAAGCAGAAAAGTGAAGATTTCGAAATTTGGCAATAAATATATTGTGCTTTATATATAGCTTTTTATTTTTCTATACATAGTTTTTATTGTCATCATATCATAAAATATGTTTAAAAATGTAATTATGTTTATTATTAATAACGTTGTAAAAAAAATATAGAAGAATATTTAAAGAAACAAAACTTTTCTATTTTGCTAAACTTTTTAATTTAAATCCACTAAATATTAGCGATTATTTTTATTGTATACAATAATTTGTTTTATTTTCAGCTTACCGAAGTTGTTCCCCATCCAGTTAAAGTGCATTTAGAGCCAGGAGCAACATCATCAGTTGCAATTTCTATGGGTTGTACATATTTGGTGTACTCAATGGGAGTTGACAAAATAAGTAAACCGACGTCGTTGTTCAATGCAAAAGAATTGAAACCTTTATGAGCAATAGCTTGTTTTACTCTATACACTGTACCAGACTCGCTTAACAGAGTTGTACCGGTATGGACAGTTATTGCTTTCAGAGCGGAAGGATTCGACGTGTAACTATTAAAGAAATATATTTTAATTGTTAATTATTTTTCTGTTCTCTGACTTTAAATATTTTTTCTTAAGTAATACGATAAAGAAAATTCTATCTTGTAAAATATATTACTTTTTTGTATATAAAAGAAAATATTTTCGTATATAAAAGAAAATTATATGATTCTTAAAAAACATTAAATGGGGTATTATTTTTTTTTTTGGAGGAACCAATCTCACAGTACCCCGTAAGTCATTTAAATGACTCTAACAAATTATAAAAACTATAAAAGAAATTTTCTCGCTACTTTTTTAATAATTTAAAAAAAAAACATTCTAACACTTTAGATGATACATTTGTATATAAGAGTAAAATACGTACGCTTCTATACAATGAGCGGCAGTAAGAATGGTGTGCTTATTGAGAATAGATCCGCCACAAAAGTGATTGTCGTATCGTCGTAGAGATACTTGATATGGGTATTTACCAACCGGAGCATCTTTTCCACCAACAATATGAGCATTTGGGAAGCCTATAAGGATATATACGTACAAATCAAACTTATGTTATAATAATTTTTAACGTACTTTTGAAAACATAAATAATTATAACTATTTGTTATTCTATTAAGTTGTTGCTATTAATAAATATATAGTACGCAATGTTACATTTTTAACATTAAAATTTAGTAAAGAGAATGTCCACAATTGATTTTCTCTAATAGACAATTATAAAAAAACATAAATGTATTTAAAAAATATTAAAAAATATTATTTAACAACCTTATTTTTAAATAATAGATATCTTTTTATACATAATACTTAATTTAAAATTTAACTTAATAAATGTAAGATAAAGTATTTTTTTAAAGTAATTTATATATAAATTTATAATTTTAATTTTATTTTTAAATTTAAATTTTATTTTATACATATAGAAAATTCAAAGTTTCTGTGACTTTGCTATTTTGAACTGTAAGTCGTAAAAATAAAATCTTTAAAGTAACAGTAATAGTAACAGTATATATAAGTGTGAATCTTTAATATTGTTGTATGTTTAAAATTAATTTTATTTGTATTCACTTACCGTGAACGGCTACAGTTAAGCAGGCAATTAACAAGGCAATGAACGCGTGCATGTTGAAAGTGTACTGGTATTAATGAAGCTTCATACGTTTATATAGTCATTTTGAGTACAGATATCGTACTTTGGAATGTGTACATGTATACAATACAAAAATAAAATATGCTTAATCTGCAATAGATCAATAGATAATCAAACTCTTTCGAAATGATTTTGATAACTTATGCTAAGAGACGTGAGATTGAATTGTATATCTGCGAAGATTTCTATCTTTCAGAAAAATGTTGAAATCTTTAACTTTGAAATCTAGAATAAATCTTTATCTGATGTAATCGATATAATTATTATCTAAAAACTACTGCGTAAAATGCGTACTCATTGAGTTATTTTAAATATTCGGATTTACAAAATAGATCATTGATGATAGATAATAATAGATTATAAATCTCTCTCATATTGGCGCCATATTTTGTAACAATTGACGAAACTATCCGGAAATTATTTGTCAAAATTTGGTCAAGGGAATAAATTGAATATTATAAATAACTGTTAAACTGCGCTTTTGAAACATTTAAAAAATTTTTTCTGCGAATATTTATACACTAAATGTATTTTTTGTGTTTATAATTTTTATTTTAATAATTTTTAATATATAATAATTTTTATTTTTATAATTTTAATATATAAATTCATTCTTCTTAATGTCTTAAATATCTTAATATTTTAATATCTTAATATCTTAAATTTAGATTGTATTTCATTAACACACATTATTTTCTTATACAAACTTTATTATAAAATTTTAAGCAGCTTTTAAAATATATTTTTTCACAGGAATGATTAAAGAAAATTAAATTATTGTTATTTGCAATTTAATATAAAAAATTTTTTAATAATTTTTAGAAATTCTTTTTCTATCATGTTAGCATGCTATCTATTTAAATATAGCTTTTTCTATCATGGTATGTATTATAATTGCATATTTTATTTTATACATTATTTTATACATTATTCATTTTATAATTTTGATCTTAATTTTTGCATTTGCATCGTTATATTTTTTATAACTTTTTATTAATAACAACTTTTTGCTTTCTTCTTGTATAATTCTGTAGAGATATATTTATGAATATAACATCCTTGTCAAAGCTGACGATAACAGCTCCTGAAATATTTCATTTTCGCTTGATTAATCTTCATTCCATCAGACATATTTGTGGTCACATCTGATTTAAAACAATTTTATCGATTGTTTTAACAGATCAACATTAAGATCAACATGATGATTTTGATTTAAGACAAAGTATTGTAACTTCCTTCTCATTCCCAAGTTTATATCTTGAACAATTGTAAATCGTTTTCAATTCTTATTTAACTGAATTTGACATGTATCAGGAATAATGTTTTACTTAATTTATTTCTATTTGGCTTTTTTTAATATGAAGATTAAAACGTTTGGGTTGCGATAATGAAGTTTTATATTTTAATATTTATTAAAATATTTCTAATATTGTCATTTAGTTTCGGCTCAAATAATCTATTGTTTATACTCTTGATTTAATTTTACACAGAACCTTAACTGTAATTATTAATAATTTAATATTTATTAATAATTTTATTAATAGTTTAATATTTTATTTTATAAAATTAATTTTAATATTATACTATCTCTGATTAATAATAAAGGGAATAAAAAACAAAAATATTTATTGATGATGTGTATAATATACAATTTCTATATTATATGTATATATTTATTACAAATTTATACATCATATATATATATGTAAACGCAATTTATCAATATATAATGACAATATAAAAATTAAATATTATTTAATTGTTAATTGGCATCAACCATATGCTCGTTAATCCAGTTTCGATACGAGGACACCTTAGTGTACATATCGGGTTTTCCTAAAGCACATGGAAATACAAACGATGCGATGCCAATCTGAACACCATTAGCAAGAAGAGCACTACCTGAGTCACCCTATAACATTATAAGAAGTTATTACAGGTAATCTATTATTACTTTACAATTATATTTCTTAATATACTCTACAAGCTCTGCATTAAAACAGATATCTGTATAATAATAAATTCATGTGCTTACATAGCACACTCCCTCGCCCTCTCTTGTAAGAGTGCAGATGTGATTATTTGTTATTTGCCAAGCCAAACGCTGACATTTTTCGGAAGAGTAGACCTTTAGGTTTATTTCTTGTAAGGTGTTAGGTATTTTTCCATTAAGCTGGAAGAATATATTATGTTAGTAAATAAGTGGTTATTATGATTAAAGAATGTGGTGACTATAATAGGAGTTAAAACTGTGTGATTAAATAATGGGTAATAACGTTTCTTATAAATTTTTCGGAAATTTTTTTGAAATGCAAAAAGTAAAAGAGAACTATCACACGGAATTATCGGATAGTAACAATTCAATGATCTTATATCTTATTTGAACATATATTGTATTATTTAGTATATCATGAAAGCTTTGAAGATGCTTAAAATCTAAAAAAAATTAATCAATACAAAAAATATTGTATGCTTTGTATGCAAAAAAAATAATAAACTTTTTAAAACATTTTATATTTTATAACTAACATTTTATGTATGTATTTGTTTTTATATGTTAATAATATTTAATATTTTAATTTGACTAATTAATTAACATTTTATTTCATGTAGCATATTTTATTGTGTGTGTTCCATTCTTGTTATTCTTAAACAATATTAATTCTTTTAATAGTAACTTACCGAAGTTCTGCCCCAACCAGATATAACGCAAGGAAGATCTGTGACTGCGATATCTTCTTGTGCAAGCGGAATGGGTTTTATTGCATTGGTGTACTCGATATCCCTGTTTAACCGAATGAGACCGACATCATCAGCAAGTGCAATCTCATCGAAGCCATTGTGCCAAACTACGCTTTCCGCTTGATAAACATCACCTGTTTCATTTAAGTAGATCGTACCTGCGTGGACTGCGAGTCTTTTAATATCTGTAAGACTGCAAAAAGTAATTTTCGTTAGAATAATTCTTCACAAGAATTTTATTCCTTCTTTTTTCAATTAACAAATTCTTAAAATTCTTCATATTAAAAGAAATATCTTAAAGAAATAATTTTTTCCCAAATAAAATAGAATTTTTAAATGCACAAAAAAATTGCTCGCAAGTCTGTCTACCTGTATATCATTTTTATGGAATATACATAGTAATTTTATTATTATATTTTTAATTATTATATTTTTTTATAAAATAATGTTTTTAATTATTGATTATTTCAGATCAAATTTTATAATCGGCCGTTAATGAAAGTTAGGATGGAAATAATTAATATAAATCGCGGAGGTACTTACTCGTTTACGCAATGAGCCGCAGTGAGAATATAACGTTTGTTAATAATCGATCCACCACAACGAAAATTGTTTCCATATTTTAGAGCTACATGGTGTGGATATTTGCCGGGTGGAGCATCTCTACCGCCGATAATGTGCGTTACCGGCGAACCTTAAAGAATTTTATGTTTAATTGCCGTCATTTATTTAAGCATTACTTTTATTACTTATTACTTTATTACTTTATTACAGTTACTTTTTGTATACAATACTCTTAATTTTAGCCAAAAATTCAATTAAAAACATATAAAAAATTAAAAAAATATATATTATAATTTTAATATAATCACACATTTTATTATTTTCTATTATTTATTTTTTTCTATTCTTATTCTTACATATTTTTTAAAATTGATTGTTACAAATATTATACTAAAATATAACAAAGATAGATTACCGTAAACCGCAAATATGAAATTGATAAGGAAGAAATTAACTGCCGTATACATGATTGCTGAAATACACTGAACGAATGATTGTCGTCATTTATCAACATCATTTTATAATCCTACTATCACAATGACCTGATCTATAATCTATCAATTTTAATTAAAAGGTTTTAAGAAAAAAGTATTTTTATTGTTTTCTTATAATAATATTCTCTCATGTAGTATATAAGAAGCTTTTTGATTGGAAATAAGATAAGAGTCAAGTGGTAATTGTCATGTTGCATTGTCGCACTCATTTTTAAATAAATCAATCTGTATATAGATACATATATTTAATATACATTTTAATATACACTAGCAATTTTTTATTCTGCTATATATATTCACAATACATTTTTGTTTACAAGCCGTATTAATATGCAAAATTTAGATAAATCGGAATTGAACAATTTTTCATCATTTTTAGTTTTGCAGTCTTTATGGTTTTGCATATATTTATATGTAATTTTTCTTACAAAAAAGAACAATTAATATTATTAATTGCATACAATTTTTAATTATTGCATCTATCTGTGTTAATAATATACGTAATATCTTAAAATAATATTTTATCTTTAATTAAGAATTTAAGTATTTATACAAGTAGTTAAATATTTAAGTAATTATACATATAATTAAATATTATATAAACACACACAAATTGATTAACATTATTATTAAACACGATAATATCATTTGTCATCATATAATTATTATCGCTCTCATTTCTTATCTAAAATCAAAGACAATCGGTTTTCCCAACATTATCTAGAAGATTTAATCCGTTATGCGATTTTTTTAAAATAAAATTTGATGTAATCTATATGAACATCGTCAGACTGTTAGTAATCAATTGATGTCATAATTAAGAGTGAGATAACATTTCTTCAGCTGTCAACATTGAATGAGGAAAATGATTTATTTATTCATAGTGCAAATCATTTCAATAAAATAAAATGGAACGTTGCAAATGTTCTCTTGCATAAGTAAAAACAAATGAATAGAAATTTCACTTGTGACCAAAAAAAGGTCTTCATTAGAGAAATATGTAATAAAATATAATATAGAATATTCTAAGACACAAGAAAACTTATGCCACAATATTTTACGATTTACATGAATTAAAACATTTTTATTGTCTCAAAAATAATTTTGACTTTGTCAATTTGACTTTATCAGAAATTACTCTTATGATAGAAGTTATATTCTACATACAAGCAAGTACAATCTTGTTAACCTTGATATGGTACGTACATTCCCTTTACGAAAACCACGCCATCATATTCCCTATTAGGGCAAAAGATAATTTATTTTCTCGAGAGATGGCGCCAATGTGTATACAGCGTTTATAAATAATATAAAAAGCACAGTAAAATGCACAGTATAATATAAAATAAAAAGCACAACAAAGATTATATTAAAGACAGATTTTTATACATATGTGATAATAGATGTAATTTGTAATTTATATGATCGATAAAAACATTTGTGTAAAAAATTTTTCACATTATTAACTGAATTGTGTTATGGAACATATTATTTTTTACAAAAAAACTGTCCGAAAAAAAAGTTTAATATTGCAATGCATAATATAATACAGAATGCTTTACATATTTAAAATAAAACATATTAATTAACTCCATGCTGAGTTATTCACTAATTATTTATTTTTATATTTAGAAAGATTTAAATAAAAATTTTTTGTGATAATAGATATTCTTGAACAAATTTTTTGATTGCATATAAGGAAGAAATTTTTAATGTTTATGTTTATATTTATAAAAATACATGAAATAAACAAAACTTTTTATATCTGAAGTAAATATAAAATTGCAATTTTATATATAGTAAATATACATGAAATACAGTATATTTAAATATTTCATAATTCAGTGAAAAAAAATCATAATTATATTACAATTCCATTAAATTTTGTTACGTTTCCGGTACGTTTAAGAAAACACTTGCTTTATATAAAATTCAGACAATGAGATAAAGCTTATGTTAGATAAAGATTTCCTTTATTCTTGCTCTTTACTTTTCAAAAGATGCCTACCTTGTTCATATATCGACACGCCCGGTGAAAACTTCGTAACGAGAGAAACGAGCTGAAAGACACTGTTTGCAAATCATTAGTCTGACGATAAAGGCGCGCTCGAGATGAGGAGGCGGAAGTCTCTTCAACTTGATGTCTATATAAGAACGAGCGAATTGCGAAATAGCTTTGACATTTTCGGCCCGTCACTACATCGCGCGTCTCGTAAGATTGTAACTTCGCGCAACCTGTGCTAAGAGAGAGAGAGAGAGAGAGACGTAATAGTCGAGGGAAAACTTTCCTTCGATCTGCATAAAGATCCAAAAGAACCTAGATTATTTTTTACGTCAGACGGCGGATGAATGTTTTAACGAGATCCCTCCGAGATGAAATTTTAAATTACATTCTACAGAGAAAAACAAAAGTCCGCGACTCGCAGAGCGAGCACGTCGCTCCGCCGTTTAATTCATTACGCTCCACTCCAGTTTTATCTAATTTCCATTTAATTAATATTAGGTGTGGAAATGAAATTAACGATAAGTTTATAATTATTAATGTACTACATCTAAATTTCGGGAAGGGTATAAGAATGCGGAATAAATTATATAATTGGTGATCGCTTGAATGATTTTACGAAACCCAAACGACGATACGTTTCTCTCCTTTCTTTTGATTAATTCAGCGGATTTTTCACGTTATATATATATATACCGTGTTTAATAACTAATATACTTTTTCATATCACTAGTTAACGTCAAATCAAATTTAATTTAATAATGTACCTCTTATTTAAATGTACATCTTATTTAAATTGTGACTTTATTTCGCGTGGTAAAATGGCCGATATTCGAGCAGAAATAATAATAGATTTCCTTTATTCTGCAGCCGCAAATGAACATCCTACCTCTTTAGGATGATTCTCATGGCGTAGCGGGGAATAAATAAAACACCAGGGGATCTGCGGTCCCCAAGGATCGGATGCGAAGGCGATTGCGAATAACAAGAACCCTTCGTCTCGCGCGAGTCTTGATCCTGTTAACAGGATCATCCTGGCAACGTCGATGGGACCGTGAGAGAAAATTAGGCACATTTGGATTTCTCGTCGCGTTGCACGGATATTATCTCGACGGTTCGATCAAACAAACGCAAGATGAATTTGTCTCTTGCCAGACACATTTATCGTTACTCTCCTTTATAAGATTATCAGAATTACTTAATTAACAACGGAATAATTCTTATTGTCAGTAGCCGTAACATAATGAACATAATTGAAATGAACATAATTGAAATGAACATAAGTCATTAAGAAAAAAATAAGGCTAAAGTCACGTTAAATCACGTTCCGTGCAATTAAAATTAGCTACAGCTTCGAGAAGCGATGTGTTCCAAGCTATCTTTTTACCGGTCGTCTATTCCGCACCACGTTAGGGTGACTCGCTTCGCGCGCGATGATCATGATATTTACATATGCATATCATTTATGCGTATCACTAGGGAAAAGGCTCCACGCCGGTAATATCCCATAGGACTCTCTATATATCCAAATCGCATTACCCGCGCTGCCCGTTCCGGGCTAAGCTGCGCCCTGAACGATTTGATATGCGTGAGCTATAACCGAGTTAACAATCCGATATGACAGATGGTGGTTTCGTGCATGCCGCATCCGATTCGTGCGCGTTGCCAACGCGAACGATGCCTGGCACCTCGACAAACGTCAATGACGTATTTCTGTACGACCGGTTTCCTTTTCGATATATCTTGCGTAATAAAGCGAGCGCGTCGCGAGAATAATATTTGAATAAGGACATTTATCCAAAAATATTTTTTCTTTTTTTTTGATCGATCAACCGCGCGCGCCGCCGAAACGGAAATAAATCTTCGCGCACGCTCGAACGCAGCGCTACGAACTTTGTTTGCAATCCGCGAAGGGATGCCGTTAACCGCGCTTGAAAAAAAGGTGCAAAGGACGTCCGCGAGCGTCACGGCAGAACGGAATCCTTCCTCTCCCGAAGATTATCACTTTCGGAAACGATCGCGGAGAGCGAGGCCGCCTCCACCCCCCCC